GAGCTGATCCCAAAGACTTCCAAAACACTGATGTGAATGCATACTTACTGTGATTACTTTGCACTGGCAAATACAAATCACCACTTCAATCTTTTGTCCAACTTTCCCCACTTTGGAGCCATCCTGGTGTATTAGCATTCAACACATTAGTTATGTTGGCTGGAAGGTTGAAGTCCAATACATTTGGAGGGCACCATTTGGGAAAAGATTGGACAGTAGAGGCTTGATAGCACAGGGACATTGTATAAAGATAGTTTGAGTGTAGACGTAGTAGCAACAATATTGCCTTTAGTGATGATTAATTAATCTTCTGATTTCAGTTCAACACAATTCAACAAAGTACTGTAGCTCCAAGCCTACCACACCCTTTACCTGACAACGTGCCTAACCTGAAACTTTGTGCCCATGACCAATATGGAACAAGAGTACATGAAAGAATGCTTTCCTGCATACTGAGATGATAATCTAAGGTCATACTTCAGGTATTTCCATCATTGGAAGAAAAATGGGCAGCTATCTAGTATGAGCATGGTCTTCAGAGGAATGTTCCACTCCCCCCTACACTGCTGTCTTTTCAGCAAATATGTTCTCCTACTTGGAGTTTAATTATTACTAAGATTATATAATTGTTTTAAGCTGTAAAATCCAGAGTTGTACACTTTTGTTTTTTTGATTGTTGGAACAAAACCTTTGCCGGTAAATACAAAGAATGTGCCATACGTATCCTTGATCTTCCTGAGTTTCACCACTAGCCTTCTACACTATCACCCCCACTCCAAGCATAGGCAGATGTGAAAACTTGCATTCCTGTTCTTGTGTAACAAAGATAGGCAGACAGGTGCAGAGAAGCGCAAGAGCAGATGACAAGCAGGTGAGCCTGCTGTGACTTGCTTACTACTGGCTCCCTTCCCCCATGCCACACCTGCCAAGCACAGGTCACCACTGGAGCAGTATACATTAGCCCAATAAACGCTATCTTCTCTCTTTATCCAACCCTTTTCAGATTAGCCTGAAGAAAGAATGTATTTCAGACTCTCAACTACCTAGTCATTATACACCAGAAGTTGGTATAATATTTAACAGGCAACGCCAACTGATATGCAGTTGTTAATTGTGTCCATCAGTTATGTACTAGTTTTCGGAAACTCTCCTCCAGTTTTTTTTTTTTTAACTTGATGGGAGTTGACAAAAAGAAAAATCTGACATATGCTCTGCTTTCAAACCCAGTTTAAGAGTATAATCCTAAATCTCTTTACTTATAATAAATCTTACTGAGCTCAACAGAACTTTTTTCCTAGTACAGTAATAAATTGACCTGGGAGTAAGTCTAACTAAACAAAATGTAACTTGCTTCTGACTAGCTAAGCCTAGCATTGCCTGCCAAATGAATTATTCCAGGTGAGCAAAGTTATCCCTCTCCATTTCAGAACCTAGGCATAGCATAAAAATTAGTATCTACTACTCTGGAAAGCAAATATAAGGGATGCACTGTGATTCAAGGAAAGTGTAATGGATCATCAGTAAAATTCCAAGGTGAAGTATATTTTAAATAACAAGGAAAATATCTAAATACTTCTCCATTGTACTAAACATATTTAGATGCATTCTGAAAATATCAATCAAAAGAATTTGTAAAACTATCGCAAAGACTGGAAGAAAAAGGAGAGGAGAAGCTGAAACATCCAAACATTTATTAGACACCAAAGTCTGTGTTTTCAGGCCTGTTTGGGACTACAGAATTATTGTATTTGATTGAAAACAGTCCAAAACGTCAGACACACCAGTACTTCTATATACAGTGAGAACTTATTAAGGGTCATGAAAATTAAACAATAAAATGAACCAAACTTGGGGAATGACCCAGGTTCCATTTTGTGGGGTAAGATTATTTAACGGAAGAGACTTTTCTCTTTTGTCCCATTCTTTCTTTTGTACCCATTTAGAATTCTACAAAAAGCTTAATCAAACAAACAAAAAAAAAGCATGATCTCTATTTTCTCCAAAAGCTATTTGGATTTATAAAAATGCAGTAGATTCAGTTACTTCTCTGTATAGTTTTCTGATCATTGTATTAAGTGATCAGCAGTAATCAATGTAAATTAACTAGTTAATGAGAGTGAATACTTCAGGTTAAGCCATTATTTATTTAATAACCCATAACTTGCTGGCTTTACATGTGAATGCTCTTCCAAAAATCATAATCTACAAACCACAATGTCTATGGCTGGTGTGGGTCTTCCGGGCTGTGTGGCCGTGGTCTTGAAGTCTTGTTTCCTAACGTTTCGCCAGCACCTGTGACCGGCATCTTCAGAGTGCAGGAGCACAGACAGAACTGGGGCACAGAGAGAACTGCTCCTGTCTGTGCTCCTGCA